CGGGGATTTCGCTGCAGTTTTTTCGCGGTTTTCGTCGTGAAATCGACCAATTTCGGACAATCGCCCTCAAAATAATTGATGAAATAGTTTCGGGACCCATCGACAGTAGAAAAGTAGAAACTTGAGGCGAAAATAATGAATAAAAACGGCTGTTAAGGCCCGACCTGATTTCAGGTCGGTAAAATATGGTAACTCGCATAGGATGGAACTGTAGCTCCCTGGTTTCGCGTTAACACCACGACGAACAAAATAACCGACAGCGAAACCAAGCGAGCTACAGAACTGCAGCTACGCCATAACACGCCACTCTGCAATGACCGGTGGTGACTGTGACGGTCTGAAATTGAAATCTCGATTTTTTAAATTAATTCAATGAATATACCTTTTAAATTACACGTACCTTATCAGAAAGTCTTTACGAGTACTATTACACGCGTATCTAGGAATATTTTCGGAATAAACTGTATAAAACAGCACAAGTTTCACTGGAGCAGAACGGAAGACAATTCAAATTCAGAAAGACGCCGTGATGCTATGACGTCATCGGCTTCACTCCACAAGCATAACGCGCACTGTTACCAGCGGTCGGGGGATTAACACCTTAGAACAATAGCGTTTCCCAACCGGGTGTTGAGGGACTGTGCCTTGATAGAACATGTGTAGTACAAACATGTGAGTCACTTTGTTATGTAACTAGGTAAACAGGATGTTGAAACATTAGACAGCTAGAGTAAACTAAAAGGCAGATTGTACCAAGCCAGTGAAGGAGCAATATCTCCTCTTCCGTTCTGTGAAATAAAGAACCCGTTTTTCTTTGTAAAGTTTGCCTTGTGCTAATTGTCATATTGACACCCGCAACAATGGTAACAAGGTAGGTCTCTGTATGTTCTTAATTTATTTTTTTTCATTTTGTTTTGATCGATTGTCGTTATGTACTTCACTTTTCCAAGTTGATCTAAATGATGTTTGTATATTTTTATTAATTTGTCTTAATTGCCTTGCTGTTAGAATTTCATTGTTGTCGACTAGGTGAGACTGGTTGATGTTATTCAAAAAGGAGTCTATATTAGTGTACCATTTACTATTAATTTATTTGTTTTCTTGGAAAGCTTATTTTAATAATGGATTTGACGAGTTCTTTACACGATTAAAATATGTTATCATTTGTTTTCCGATAAAAATCTCCAATGGGTAACGTTCAAGTTTGCCATATAAACCCATTGTTGTGATTTGTTTGGATGTCCCCAAAGGAAAAAAGAAGATAATTTATATGTACATATTCAATTGGTGATTTTAATGCAATTTTATCTTCCAATACATCACTACCATATGTGAGAATTGGTCTGATTAGTTTATCAAACAGAGAGAGTGACAGTGGTATACTTAGGTTTTTACCAGTTTTTCCCTTTAAAGAAAATAAGGCCTTCAAAGCTTTTCTTTTTATGCTTTTTAGGCCTTCATTAAATTTCCCATTAGCACTTACCATTAATCATAGGTAAATGATTGATTTTACCACAGTCCCTCTATCAGGGACTGTGATTTTACAGTATTTAACTCACAACCTTGATAGAAGAAAATATCATTCTCTAGAAGTCTGTTTGATCTGTTAACGATCATAATTTAAGTTTTTCCGTGTTAACAGTTATAGATGCCATTTTTTAGTGTATAATGATAAATTATCAAGGCAAGTTTGTAATCCTGATTTTGTTTCAGAAAGTATTACTAGATCGTCAGCAGATCGGTGAGTATCTCAAAGCACACCTGACCCCTTAACCTCAAATGTGACGTCATTCAAAATGGTGGTGATGTTTGAGGTAGAGACGTTTGTATGAACTGTTGTTTCTTTTCGTGTTTATTCTCACGTAAGGCGATGTAACAACTAGCTTTGAGTCAGGAACATGTCAGGCGACCAGTGTGATGTGCCCGACAAGTGTAACGCCAATAATAGTGGCATCGAGAAACAAATGATCAGCAAAGTGAAGTATCGGCAATGCAGGGTATGTGACAAACGTTTTAACCACACAGGGCATCTCAACAAACACATGAGAATACATACTGGTGAGCGACCGTATCAATGTGAAGTTTGTGAGAAACGTTTTACCGAGAAAGGCAGTCTCAAAACTCACTTGAGACTGCATACTACCAACGGGAAACCATACCAATGTCAGTTATGCGAGAAGCGCTTCACCCAGGCAAGCAGCCTCAGAACGCACACGAGATTACATACTGGTGAGCAACGATATCAGTGTGAGGTCTGTAACAAACGCTTCAACGAGAGATGCAACATGAAGAGACACATGATAGTACATACTGGTGTAAAACCATACCCATGCAAAGTGTGTGGCAAACATTTTAATTTGAGATCCAACTTGGATAGGCATATGAGAGTGCACACCGGTGTGAAACCACACCCGTGCAAAGTGTGTGACAGACGTTTTAATTTGAGATGTAGTCTGGAAAGACACATGAGAGTGCACACTGGTGAGTACCCATACAGGTGCCATGTATGTGACATGCGTTTTGCTCATTCAAGAAATCTGAATATGCACATGGGATTGCATAACATGGTAGACAACTTAAACACAAACATCATTATACATACTTCTCACCAACCATATCAGTGGACTGTTCACCGTGATATGCAGTATGTTGAGCCAGGAAACTTGATAACAACTCGGGTAACAACCATGCTAACAGGAGTGCCAACTGATCAGCAGCCATACCCGTATGTAGTTTGTGACATGTGTTGTACCATGGGAGGCAACATGGGAGTGCTTACTAGCAATACACCATACAAACAATATTCATGTGACTGTAGATTCCTATATGGACAGAAATGGACCAACACTGTAAAACCAGCTATACACTTCATTAATGATTCAGGATATGGTATTGAGAAAATAGGAGAAAATATTACAGACATTGGAGTACATAAATACCGTGTAATATTCATGTAGTGTTGGGCCTTCATTTCATTTTGTGGGAATTGAAATGTACTCAGTGCAACAAAGGCATTCCTTTCATCTTTATAAATATTCAAACTGAAACGAGCAGTTTTTATTGGCAGATTGAATAACATTTGCACATTTTAAAAATAATGTTGCACACTGTGCTGCTCGATTGGCTGGTTGGATTCAGCTGTCCTTGAAATTTATAGATATTTCTAAAGATGAAAGGAATGGGCTTGTTGTTCTGAGAGTAACTGTTAGGTTTCACTATCAGTAAAACAAAACAATAAGACCTGGTAATCAACAAGATAGGTCTCTCCTATATATAGTAATTTATGTAAGTGCATACACAGATGCAATGCAAGGCAATTCATAAACTCTGTGATGAGTTTTTCTCATCGTGAGGATTCTCCCATCTGAGAACTAGGAGGATTTGGGAGAATAAGTCCTATGGGTTACTAGAAATGAAAATTTAAAACTCACATTCTTTGTTTGTAATTTTGCCCACCAGTAAAATGCACCACTTACAGTAGAAATGTTTACTTCGAACATTAACATTTAATGCATGTGTACAAAGTCTTTATTTAATAAATGTTAAACATATATTTTCTTCTTGTGGTATTAAATTATCTTGACAAAAAGTTAAAATCATGTCATGACATCATTTTTCAATTTTCCAAAGACTGGGAAGCAAAACGTTTTTAGCTCCGCTGTCGACTTTGTTGAGCGGAGCTTATCATATGAGTGATTGTCCGTCATCGTCTGTCGTCCGTCGTCCGTGTCAATGTTTTACTTTTTCGACTTCTTCTTGAAAACTACAAGCCTGAATGCTTTGATACTTGGTGTATATGTAATTTTTGTCATTTTTGGTAAAAAGTGATATTTTCGACTTCTTGTTGAAAATTGCAAGTCCGATTGTTTTTATATTACATATATATGTACTACATGTGGACCTCTTTCAGATTTGTTAATTTCGTGGTGATATCTTCAATTATCTAATTTTGATGATTGTTTTTTTGTCATTTTTGGTGAAAAGTGATATTTTTGAATTCTTGTTGAAAACAGCAAGTCCCATTGCTTTGATACTATACATATTGTTCATTTTCTAATGATATCTTCTGTTCTTTAATTGAAATGTGCATTGCTAACAGCGGGGCTATCTCAGCCGACTGGCTGCTTGTTTATTCCTTAGGGCATCAAGTCGTATAATTGCACATGTATGATTTTCTATTCAATGATCTGATAAAATTAAAATTCAATGAGAAGCAATTCCCATAAAAATTTGTCTACTCATGCTCTGTAGACAATTCGTTTATCGCATTTACTTTATTATTATATTTATCGGGTAAACCATAGTTCATCAACACTATTGGGCGATCCAGTCGAAAGGCTACCAAAACAGCAGCATCAGTCGCGGAATCTAGAAGCGCACATACTAGATTGAACGCCATGGTTGAATGCGTACTCAACAGAAGGCGATGTCTTCACAAAATTGTCTTTTATTTCAAAATTAAAATCTCTTGTTATTGGAAATGGACAATTTTTCATGCCAAGATAGTATTAAATTCTGGTTTCCTCCCAATTTCCTTCTTTTTAAATAACTTCTCCTTTCTTCATTACCAAAAACAACACTGTAATTATATCTTTGGTACAGGATCTAGATATTCAATAATAGAACACATTGTTGCGAATAATCTACAGCAATGGTGTCATAAAATTTACTGGTAAAATAAATATGAATTTCACAAGGTTTCATCAACAGAGGGCGCTGTGCTCAGCTGACCAGAAACATAATTTGTTAGGCCTACTGGTGCTGAGACATACATTGTATACCAATTGCAGTATAATTCAATGAACTAGCAGTAATATCAACCATACACTATTCCCACAAATAATAGAAGCAAAAAATATACAAAATTCAATGTTTTTAAGTTATTCTTTGCATTTATGCCGACTTATGAAACTGACATCGGACCTGATTCAAATCCTATGCAGCAGTGAACGCTCACTGGGAGTTTTTTCTCGCAAAATGTTTCAAATCAGATGGCTAGACTAATATTTTTGTTGTACTACGGTGGTTTTTCTCAAACTTTTTTATAAATGAAAATGGATGTTAGAATTCAAATTGTTCAATTCGGAAATGGTATTGTGACATCATCTATAGTTCTAATTAATATTAATGAGATATTTCAACATTGTCCAATCAGCAAGTGCTGATTTTAAATATGTGCAATAAATGTGCAATATATTGCGAAAGCGAGTCTGAGTGAGTGTTGAAAGAGAGGTTAAAAAGTTAACTTACCTTAGTGGAGTTTATACGAGTGGTATTTATCCGCTATGGCTTGTGTTTGATGAAGTTGTTTTCAATCACTATTTGAAATTTAGAAATATTTTATAAAAATTTTATATAAAACAAAAATACATGCCTTCATGAAGCCCGGTGTAGATCATTCAAATAAAATAACATTGTATAGGGGACAAGTATGGATTAAGGGGGAGGTGCGGAAAAAAAAAAATTAACAAATCAATTGACAAACCCGGCCCACCAATAGGAGCGTGCCCCCCTTACTGAATTTCTGGATCCGCCAGTGTAGAGGACAGATATGTTTTGTTGTCTAAGTAAAATGCTCAGCAGTATGGCCATAAATATATACATTTTGTTACATCTAGTCACTGGTATGTAATAATAATAATAAACTTTATTGATATATTATCCTTTATATAGGATCTTGAGTATATGTATAAATAAATATAAAAAAAATACAAGAGATCAATATATTTGAAATTTGCCACATATACTTATACATGTAAATCATATGACTTTAGTTATAAATTAAATTTCATTTCTTTGCTTCAACATTTACTTGCTAATTACTAGTAATTAAAGCAAATTTTCAAAATTGAGATAATATCAATATTTGTCAATATAAGTTCACATCTTAGGGTTGACTTGCTCAAAATTACAAGTTGTCTTTTTTTTCTAGAATACAAAAATATTTTATATATTCCATTTCTTATCATATTCCATTCCATCAAGTCCATTCAAAATTCCAACTCCAACTAACCACAGACACATATTCTCCAGGCAGCTATTACTGGTGAAACTGGCTTCTACTGTTGGCCAGCTTATACCATTCAAGCCACGACTTGACCTTTGACACGTTATCACAGCACCGACGTGGACATTTTTTTCAACACCTGAAGACAGAAGCTGTTGAAGTTTGTGCCTTCCAGTTACAACATACCAGTATCTATAATGGGAACACTGGCGAATAATGCTGTAAACTTGCTAATATTTTCTGCTACAGGTGGGGATTATTTCAACCTTTACGTATGAAATAATGTATGTGATCACTGAAAATGCACCGTTATTACCATATCACCTATTCCCTATCGACCACAGCCTTATGCATCTCAGTGTAACGTTTTGTTGTTTTATATGTCAATTTCATTATTGATTGCCCGACTGATACTTGAATTCCCCATTGCCTCACTGATATAGCTGTCGACTAGCTAGCTGAACCAATGGCGTAAAAGATCAAACATTTGAAATCATGACGAGTGAAATGTTTTCCCGTGGTATCTTGTCTGTACCCTTTATGAGGGGGAATGTATGGAAAGCCTTACGGGATCCTGCTGCGTCAATATAAATTGCATGGTAACACATAATAATAATAATCTTTATTGAAAATACAATAAAGTAATACAAAAAGATAGCAAAAAAACAAAACAAAAAAACACAAGACGTTCAAATACAATAGAGGCATTGGTTGAGGCATCTGGCATTTTAAGATTTTTTCTTGTCGTAATTTGAAACAAGTGTGGATGAATTTTCCTAGTTCAATGATTGTTTTGTCATTTTTAATTTTTAGTATATTTGTAAGTTTTTCGTCATCCGTCCCCAAGTTGCTTATATTATATTTAATATTGTTGATCATGATTTCTCGTTCCTTCTTGTATAAATCACAATTGAGAAGAAAATGTTTTCGTTTTCAATTTCCTGTTTGTCACAAACTGGGCAAATTCGGTCCTCTGCTAAAATGTTATTATATCTGCCCCTTTCAATTTGAAGGGTATGAGCACTTATTCTGAGTTTTGTCATAGCTTCTCTATGATTTGGATTTTTGATTGTGGTGAGATATTTTTCATATGCAAATTCTGTTTTAATTTTTCTATAGGTTCGTAACTTGTTTTTATAGTTTTTACCTTTATTGTCATCGTGTAATGTTTCTGTGCTATGTATTTCAAAGGATTGTTCTAGTTTGCGCATTACTGTTTCACTGATTTGTTTTTCATCAAGAGATTTATGGTTTTCCCAAATATTTCCCATATGTAAATTTTCTAAAATTTGTGTTATGTCTATATAGCTTCAAAATTATGCTGCTTCTTCAACAAAAGTGCGATTTTCGATGTCTACGTTTACCAATTGTAGTAGTAGCAATCAACGCAAAACTTGGTCACAGTCGTCACTAATTAATTAGCAGTTGTCGCAAAGCAAGTTGTAGTAGTCGCGATTTAACGGGTGATGATTTGTAGAAGTCACTAACACACTACAGCGTATTTGTCGCTGACGCGGTTCCTTAATTTCTAGATGACGTCATTTCATTTTCCAAGTTGACGAAGCAAACAAGTCCCCCTAGTAGACGACGCAACTTGCACTTTTCAAGTTGTCGACGCAAAACGAGTCCCCCCTAGTAGACTTTGCATTTTTCATTCCAAGTTGACGCAGACACACTTTTTCTAGTAGACGACGACGCATATAGCATTCTCAAGTTGACGCAGACGCATTTTTTCTAGTAGACGACGACGCACAGGGATTGCATTTTCAAGTTGACGCAGACCGTTTTTCTGGTAGACGACACAAAATGTACAGTGCATTTTCAAGTTCGATATCTGGAAGTATAGTCATCGATCGACCTGATCTGAGTTGGTCATGTTCAATACTGTATGTTATTAATCAGTTTTAGTATTTCTCCCAGGCAAATGAGCACAATCAAGTATTGACTGGTATTCTGTTCATAGTTCCGCCAAATATCGCTGAAATATCCATTGTACACACTAAAGTATCTGTTGAAGAAGCAGCATAATTTTGAAGCTATATGTTTTACCATGCAATTTATATTGACGCAGCAGGGTCCCGTACGGCTTTCCATAGGAATGTCTGTTCTTGTTGTTGCTGTCGTCGTTGACTCGTCGTAAAACTTGTTCTTATGGTTAAAATAACTCAAACAGTTTTTATCCAATTTCTTTCAAATAGTATATTATTAACCAGTTGGGAACTCGCATGGCCAAGTTCAATGTATATTTTTCAAGATAAATTTTTTTTGTGGTGTGATAACTCCATTAATATTTAGTCAATGTATATATATGGTTACTGGGTAATCTGTATTGTTGAACTGTATAGATTAGGGAGTTGATCTTACTTTTGGTGATTTTTCAAGTGCATGTAGTGTAGTCCCATGCTACTTTTTCTTTACTATTTTATTTTAATTTCTTTCTATAATAAATTTTCATGTATTTTTTTCTTCTTTGAATTATTTTTATTTCCTTCCTTTTCTCAGTACTTTCTTTGGTTTTCTTATTATGTCATGTTTTTACCATATTAAAGGGACAG